GCACACTGTGAAAGGACCTCTCACACTCAACGCAATAATTTTAATGAAATACAAATATAAATGAAGCAACGGCCCAACAATGACAGCTCAAACGGCGCTCATCAATCGCCCGAAACTTTTATCAAATCAGCCGTTCGAAATTATTTCCGGCACTCGCCTGATTAGCCTCCATGCCCCCGCTCATCAACATTTTCCGGCACATTTTTGCGGCTGGCCACGTGCACGCCATCTCAAGTAGTGCCAGCAAAATCTATTGAAAATGCAAAATAAATAAGCCTGGCTGGCCCAAGTAACTCGAAATGAACAACGAGCAGTTACCCTCTGGCAAGTGCATATAGTAGAGCTATGCTTGCCAGTCGTGCATACCCGCCCGCTGCCTCGTCTGGGCATTGTAAAATAAACAAGCAGCCGCAAAAAAACGAGGGGAACCATCTAAAGCGAATGACAAATTTTAATGTCAATAGCCAAAGACGTGCGCTGGTCGTGGCCCGTAGAAAACTAGATGGAAGAGGCTGCCAGCTAAGGCTGATGCCATGGCTAAGGCTGAGGCTGAGGTCCTCGCCATTTGCTTTAGTATCTCTGCGCCGACTTTCATGTTCATTTGAATGTCGTTGCAGGACGCACAAACGATTTGTTTTGGCTGGCATCGTCTATTGGTTTTTTCGGCAGCTCTCACTCTATCTGTGTGTGTGTGTGTGTGTGTGTGTGGAGGGTTTATTTGTATTAATGAAATAGACATTTTGGGGTCATGCTAAAGTGATTTTTCAACGTCCTGTCCGGGACAGCAGCAGCCAGTCGAACCACCACGCGCGTTGCCTCCTCTTCTATCTTATGTCTCACGTTTCATGTTCCTTATCTGCACCATTTGCCATTTCGTCTATTTTGTTGCCTTGCTTTTTGTTGCTTTTTGTTTTGTATTTTGTTTGTCGCCGTGTTTATTTTGGCTTTGTCTTGGCTTTTGTCGCTTGTTTTCTGTTTTTCCTATTTTTCCATTTTTTGTTTTTTTTTTTGCTGCTGCTGCTGCTGCTGCTCCTGCCAAACGAATCCTTTCCGTGCCGCAACAATGGCCAACTTTTGGTAGTGGATGCTGCCGCTGCAGCTTTCGTGGCCTTTCAGCGACACTCGCAGCAAAGTGAAACTAATGGCAGTTAGTTTTGTTAAGTCGATAAAACTGTCAGTGATATGGCAGATTGTGTGGCAGCTGGCGGGTCCTTTTTGCCGCAAGCAGCTGCTACAGCGCTCCAGCACCACTCCAGCGCTTTTTGTCACCCACTGTGTGGGCGAAATGGATTTGCAGGCGTTCCACATTCCACGGCTGCGTTTTCTTTTTATTTTGAGTTGGGTTAAAAAAGTTAAATGAAGTTGCCACAGGCATTAAATTTCCGCCATTATCAGACAAGTCAGTCCAACCCAGCCCAAGAACCCGCCCGCCCCACAGCCAGCTCGAATGCAAATGAAGCTGGCTGCAAAAGTGTTGCATTTGTCGTTGCATGCCACCAAGGCGGCATGGGCGTGGCTGCTGGGCATACTTGGGCCAAAAGTGAGTGACATTTTATGTACATTTTCTTGGCTTCGCTGCCAGCCAAACTGCAGCCGTGTTTTATGCACATTCGCACATTTTTGATAGGCCAGAGAAGGAGAGAGTGTGTGTGTGTGTGTGTGTAGGTATGTGTGCTAATGGGCGCCAGAAATAATGTTGACTTATTTCGCTGCACTTTTTCTCTACAAATGACTTGCCATCTCTTCATCAACATCAACATCAGCAGCAGCAGCAGGAGCAGCAGGAGCAGGAACAGCAGGAGCAGGAGCTTTCAGCTTATTACTTTGTGTGCAGCACACACACACACACACACAGCGTTTAGCTGAAGCGCATTCATTGTGTACATTGTACAATGGCTCGACTAGTCCATATTTCAGCAAGGTAGCTGAATTAATTATCACATATCACAGCTGGCTCACGTATCCTAAATCAAAGCATTTAACGCCCCTAATCCGCTTAATGCAAAGGGTTCTCTACCCCACAAACACAGAGAAAGAGAGAGAGAGAGAGAGGGAGAGAAACTCACTCAGAACAGCTTGTTTGGGTTAGCTGTGCAAGTGCACTTGGTGAAGAGACGGCATGAAGAGGCAGAGGGCTGAAAGGCTGAGTGTGCAGCGTATTTAGCAAATTAAAATGAAAATCTTTGGCCCAAGCGACCGCAGCACAAAAAAAAAAGAAAGAAATAAACACCTAACGTCACAAAAAGTGGAAGAGGCAAAGAGAGAGAGAGAGAGAGAGAGACAGGTAGGGGGGAAGCATGGGAATGAGCGACAGAGATGAGGGACAGCTCGCTTTAAGTCCCCGACGCGGATAACGAACAAGTGGAACGTGGAGCATGGAGCGTGGCTTGGGCAGGTCGCTGTGATTGGCAGCAGCCATCAAGCAAGTTAATTGCCCACAATTTAGAGAAGAGAACGCTGTGAAGTGGACACCACCCAGAGCCAGCCACACACACACACACACACACATAGACTCTACTTCCGTTGCGCTAGCAAAGCTCATCAATCGAATTGAAGTCGGTCGCACCATAGTGTCCCCTTGACGCTGCCAGTCGCCAGCTAAATCTCGACCATTTGTGACGCTATTAGGCAGGAGACGGGTCAGTCGGCCTGCCTGCCCGGACTCTTCTCTCCCTCTCTCTCTCCCTCTCCCTCTATTTGTATATGGCCATGTTTGAGGCCATTATCGTGTATGGTGCGTTATTAACTTTTGCTGCCTGTCAACATTGAAAATTATATGCTAGCCAACCACAAAACGAACCCCACACACCCACACACACATAACCATTGTGAGTATGTGTGTATGTGTGTGTGCTATTTTTCATGCTTTGCTTGCCTCTCGCATTCATTACGTGAGTTGCGTTGGCGACGAGCACAAGGATTCACATCCTTATGCCCAACCACTTGCCATTAGCGCAGCAGGAGAAGCACATTTAATTTTGTTGTTGCTGCTCCTGCTGCTGCCGCTGCTGCTGCTCTCTTCTCTAAGCCTCCTGCTTTTGTGGCATATAAATCAAGTATTTTTTACAAATTGTTGTCATCATGTTGACATTTGCGACATCTTTATCGGCATCGAAATTCGGTCCAGGCCCATGCAAAGTAGACCCTGGCACTCTTGTCAATGTAATTGCTGTGCGAAAGAGTGAGGTGATATACAGAAGGAGAGCGACGACAGCGAGCTTAAGTTCGATTCCAAATTGGAAAAGATCAACTATAACTAGAGCTAAGTGGATGCGAATTAAATCTATTGCAAAGTGAACTAAACTCTGATTGCCGGTCAGCAAATCCCTCGACGTCGCTAACTTTTACAAGAAACTCAAGACTTCCGGGCGGTGTTAGTGACTGTGACGGTGCTTTTCAGCTCTTCCTGATGCCAGGCGCAAATTAAAAGCTGAGCACGAAACAAAAGAGAAACAGGGAAAAGCGAAGAGCAAAGGAAAACAATAACAATATCAGCATGAAACTAAAGCCAAAAAAGGAAACGGGGCGAGTTGTAAATGAAAAATTACATTTTATTTTTATTTATGTATTTGCATTTGCCATAAAACTCAACGCAACATCATCAGCGACGGCGCTGAGTAGAAGAAACAACATCATGAACGTCGACGTTGCCCAAATGACTTCCGTTTCCGTTTAAGATGCAGCCACGCACACACACACACACACAAATATATGTATATATGTATGTAGATGGGGCATCAGCATGCAGTACGCGTCATTTGTTTGGCTGGCTTGCTGTTGGCTGTTTGTTGTTGCCTGTTTGTTGTTGCCTGCTTGTTGTTGCCCATTACCATCTGCGTCTACACATTTGCTGTCCATTTTGACAGCGAAAAATTGCATCGAGTATAATGTAAATCGTGTCATTTGTCAAGGCCAGCTGTTTCCCAGCTGCCGACAGCAGCAACAACAGCAACAACAGCAAAAAATAATAATAAAAACAAGCACAGCCTAATGACAATCGGCATGTCTTGACAATCATACGAAAGTGTGTGTCATGCACTGAGAGAAATATGTGAAGGTGTTGATGACAGGCTCTAGATGAAACTTAAGCAGAAGACTTTTAAAGCTCAGTGTATGAACATTTCAAAAGGGTATTAGTAATATTTCGTTATCATCTTGATATAAATATGGATTGCTCTGGGAAAACATATATTCAAAAGTCAAATTGGAATTTTATTGTTCAATTTATGAATTAAAACCCAAGTTAACTTAAATAAATACAAGTAAGTTTTAAATCAAATATACTACATAATCCAATGAAAAATCATATAAAGCTGTAATAATTTTGCTCAATAAAAATGTATATACTAAGTTGCTTGATAACATATTTCTTTTCCAAACTCCTTCAATATTTTCTTTGCTTAAAATATAACTAAAAGTGTATTGACATTATATAAAGTATTTTAATTTAAATTTCTAAACTAAAATACATTTTCGCCTTTAACAAACTCACCTTTCTTTTCGTTCAGTGTATTAGCATAGCTAGAGATAAATGCCTAAGCACATTGCTCATAAGCCCATGCACTCGAGTAGATTTAATGAGTCTTTTCGCAAAAGTAATTTGAAAATTTTCGGGGCACTTCGCCTGTGACTAAGTCGGAGCCCGGCGCGTGAATAATTCAATAAACTAACTTTCATGAAGATTAATTAAATATTTCTGTCTAATTTGACGCAATTTATGCAATGCGTCGGCCAGGAGCCGCAGCGCCTTACGCACAGCACAGAAAAATGAACAAACTTTGAGCGTTAGCTATCTGCAACGCCAAAGTGTCTGTGTGTGTGCGTGTGTGTGTGTGTGTGTGTGCTGCTAAAACTTTTATTAATTACAAAAGATACACATAAATATTAGTAGCGCAGCAGTTGGGTAGCCAAAGTAGCTGCCACCGCACTCGTTTATTTGCGAGAAAGCCACTCGACGAGTTACTAACTTAGTTTCTTATGTTTCCGCTTGCTTTTTCCAGTGTCCGGATAAAGTTGACGAGCTCTAGAGACCACAAACAACAACAAACTGCAAATGGAGCGGGGGGAGATGGGAGCTGGCCCTGGAGCTGGAGCTGGGTATTAATACCAGCGGAGCTACGATATTCCCTCTATATATGTACATATGTATGTATGTGTGTATATGCTCTACGGTTTACAGCTTACGCTCTAAGGTAAGTGGGGCGGAGTGGGCAGCAGTGACGGGAAATAATGCAAGTTAATGCGCTTGTGTACACGGACATAATGTATAATTAATTTGGCTCGACATGCACATTTGCCAGCGGCCACCTGTTGAGCTCCGGCTCTCACCTGCCGCGCCACGCCCCCAGTTCAACCAGCCAACCCATTGAAAAGTGGCATAACGAGCACTCAGGCAACGGCTTAAAAGTGCTCACAAATTGCTACATGGCAATGTCTGTGTTACAGTCGAGAGATGTGCATGTGTGTGTGTGTGTGTGTGTGTGTGTGTGTGTGTGTGTGTGTGTGTGTGTGTGAGTATGAGTGTGTGTTGCTGGGCTGCTGCTTTCATCAACACTTCCGCTGCAGCAGCAGCAGCAGCAGCTGTTGAAAAAGAGCTGCAAACTGAAACTGCAATTGAAGCGCTTTTCACTGCAGACAGCAGACCTACCTGGACACAAAGAACAAAAAACTGGTTAAGGTGTACTAATTGGCCATGCTCAGCGGGCACATGCCCTGTAATTAGCTGCAAGCTATCATTAGAAATGAATTGTATATATACCCTTTAATTAACTGCAAGCTATCATTATAAATACATTGTATGTATATATATATACTCCATATAACATACAAAATATTCCGTATATATATTTTAGTATTGTCACTTTAGTTTATATTAAGTCTCAAAATCGATTTTTATCGGTTTAATGCCAATTTAATGATTCATTTAAAATATATATTATACAATTCATCCCTCTAAATTCTATGATTTCTGAGTCGAGGCACAAAAGAGAATCTTTCTTCTTATATATACAATATTAAAAATCGATATTCTTCGATAGTTAAGAAGCAAAAGGAAAATATATATATACTAAACACTTATATTTCTCATTTACATGGAAATTTTGTTGAGCTGGAATTATTATAATAATAATTCGTAATAATAATTTATAAAATATATAAACTACAGTAAAATCCGGTTAAAGCGACTCCGCGTCGAAAATTCTGGTCCCCAGACAGACTTTTATGAGCAAGCTTATATGGCGTCTACCTCTACTGTACATATATTGTATTATACTTCTCAATCCAACCCCTTTTTACAGCTTCAGAACTACTTAAAGCATGAAGTCCGAATTGGTTCAATGTCTATATCACTTATACACTTTATGTGCTGCAACATTCTGCTCTCTGGTGCGTTACATACATTTGCATTCGGACATGAATACCCCTTTTAGTCATTTTCAATGGGCTCAGAAATGAAGCAAGTAGAAGAGCAAGGCTTTTTAATGAGTCAAGTGGCCAACACGTCGTACTCACTCGCCGTATCCGAGTATGTGTATGTGTGTGTGCGTGCACATACGTTGTGTATGTGTCGACGTGTGTAATGACGCGCATTCGGTACGCTTTTATGCCAGCGTATTCGTACGAAATAAACCGTTTGCTTTTGAAGTTCGTTTCTGGGCGTCATGCCAACGTTTTTTCAGTTGCCAGTTTGCATTTGCTTTTATAATTGCATGCCGCTCTTAATGAGCCAAGCGCCATGCAATTTGTACAGCACCCACACACGCACACACACACACACACACACACACACACACACACACACACACACACACATACACAGAAAGAGAAAGACGCACACAGAGAGAATGAGTGAGTGAACGACTCACTATGGCGCAAATCAGCCTTTCAAACAACTTTTGCCGCCACTTGAAGTTGAAGTTGAGGTTGGGGTTTTTGAGGTTGGTTAGTTTAGCCCCGTTTGCTGAAACAGCTGCCAAAAAGCGTTGCTGGAAAAGTTAAGCTATGGCCAAATGGATTTGCTCGTAAGCGAAAATAAAACCACGCAACGAAACGAAATGAGTAAATTGCGGTTTCAAGTTCTCGCAACTGTACAACGCCGCACACAGTCGTGCCTCGTGCCACATCCGCAAGCACCACCAGCCTTGCTCGCCATCCCTCTCCCCCCTCCCCCATAGCTACGACTGTTGCCCAGGCAATGCGTTACTCTTTACCAATTTTTTTGCAATTTACCCCCAAAAACCACTTTGGTTGTTAAAATTTTTAACACATGCTGCATACTTTTAGGGGTAAAGCGGTTGCTGTTGCTGTTGCTGTTCTGTTGCTGTTGCTGTTGCTGTTGCTGCTGCCGTTTCTGCTTGGATACGTGGCTTAAACATTTGATTGACTTTTGCGCACGGACACAATAACAGCGCGCGAAAATCATTTTTGCTTTTAATGCCAGTGCCAACAGAAATGGCTGCCACACACAGACACACATAGGCAGCAGCAATTTTGCAATTGCTTTAAAGCGCTTCGTATAAAATATTGCGCATACGCCCCGCTGTGCACACACCCACACTCACTGAGTGGAAAATGGAGAAGCGAGGGACGGCCAGAGCCCTCGACACAAAACGTATAAATGTATAATTGAAAACAAATTTTACTGCATGTAATTGAGAGTGTTTGTGTGTGTGTGCTTGTGCGTGTGTGTGTGTGTGTGTGTGTGTGTGTGTGTGTGTGTGTGCTTGTGCTTGTGCGTGTGTGTGTGTGTGGGCCTGTCTTGATATCGATAACAAACGCCACAAATTGAATTTAAATCATATTACATACACATACGACTACAGCCAAGGCATTTGGCCTGCTTGTTTGTCGTTGCTTGACTAAGGGCTGAGACTGTGGACTGGGAGGGGACTAGGCGGGGACTGGGACAGGGGCTGAGCTGGGGCTGGTCTTGCCTTGGCTTGGCTCGTTTGTTCGCTGTGCCATGTTCGCTTGTTTTATTTATGGAGCCAGTAACAGCAACGACAAACAACAACAACAACAATAATAATAACAGCCCCAGACGGCAAAACAGTAGCAACAACAACTACAACTACAACAACAACAACAAATTGAGCAACGCCTTCGCTTCTGCTCTATATGGCTGAAAGGGGCTGGGTCACATGCATTTGCCAATGAGGCTAGCTACGAATTGAATTATAGAGGAGATTTTTAAATATGCTCAGACAAGTGCATTTTAAAATATTAATTTAATTAAAAATTTAATTTTTGTAAAATTTATAGATTAATTGCTGTAGAATCCATCAATAATCTGATAGAAATAAAAATACATATAATTGATTTAATTAATTTATATTTATTTATATATATTATTAAGCAGTTTTCAGTTTTCAATTTTTAAAAAATTTTTTTATTTTTCATATTTTTAATAGAGTTAATATAAAAAGATATTTTAATTAAATTTAATGTTAATTTTAATTTTCTAAGAATTTTACTAATATTTTTTTTACATATAATTTTTAATGAATTTATTTGCATTGAGAAAACATTTTAATGCAATTTAAAATCAGATTAAATATAAATATATTTTCACTAGCTAGAAAATAAATAGCTTAAATTTCGCAATTTAATATCTTTCTATATTTCCAACTAAATTCAAAACGAAGTCCTTGCCACTGCAAAAGAATTTCTCGGCAAACACTCAATGCTAATACTTGGTCAATTTTTCATCTCCGTCTTCTGCGAATTCGTTTCCTCGAGCAGAGCATTCAACTAGTCTTCATGGGAATTGAGTGCCATTCGCCGTTGCTTGAGTTGAGTTGCCTTGTTTTGAGATTTCCGTTTTATGCATTCACTGCACACGTTTGCCAGAGACAAGCGAGCCAATCTGTTGGCAGCCTGGCTGGCCGTGCACCCCCCACCCCCCTGCCACAGCGGCGTGGCGTGGCTTCGCCTGCCGCCCAGCTCTTAATTGTCTGTGCCGTGCTGTGTGGCATGCAATAAATTTATGCATTGCATTTGAATTTCGGTACTATTTGGAGGCAGCAATGCATTCCATGGCACTTGCCCAGGTCAGAGGCCTATCGGTAGCTGCTACCGCCCCGCTGGCTATTAAAGTCATAAATAAATGTTTGATTAGCAGTCAAAATATGCTTTGTGCCATATCAGAATATTTTTAAAAATTGCATTCCACATTTTGAAAACGGGCATATTGGTTTTGTGTGTTTGGATGATTTGAAATTAGAAATAAATAAATTTCGAACAATTTAAGGTACTATGCAATTGAGTTCTGTCTCTCTCTCTCTCTAAAACTTGCTTTAAGCGCATTAAACTATAAATCCGAGTTAATTAACAAAGATTTCAGAATGCCTTTAACAAATAAAAAAAAAATATATATACACGTAAAAACATTTTATTAGCAATGCGTTGAAATTGGCTTTGGGCATGAGAAATTAATATGAAAAATGTTCAGTGAAAGCAAATAAAAATGTTTTCATACGTTATCTAGAATCAATATATTTTTTCGCAGAAAAATTATATCATAAATCTTCTTTTATTAAAAGCTGCAGCTGCAGGGCAGTCAACAAAATCTTGATAAGAGCCAGACGCATTCAATGAAAGCCTAACGATGTTTTCCTGCTCTCTTGGTTTTGTTGTTTAATTTAAAGCATTTTAAAGTCCGCAATTTATGCACCTATTCATATTCATTTAAATGCCTCAACTAAAAAATAAATATTAGGCTCGAATTGCCACTTTTGCATAATTTAAAGTGTAGAGTAGAGAGGAATGTGATTTTTGTTGAGCATTATGTAACGCCAAGTAGATGTAGGCTTAGAGAAAAGTAAAGAGAACGGCTAGGGGAAAAAAAAGGAAACGAAATTCAAGATGAGAAAGAAAGCAGAGAAATGAAAATGAAAGAAAAGAAGGAAAATATGGCAATGAAAATATGTAACTAGAACAAGAGAAGGAATAGAATAAAAGATAAGAGAAGACGATGTGCAAAAGGGAAAATACGACAGAGAATAGAATAAACGAATATATGAGTAGGGCAGAGAAGAGGAGGACAAGAAGACTAAAGACCAACGAAAATAGAAGAGAAGAGACACCTTTCGAACTAGCTATATCCATATCCTATATACCTATATCCTTGTTTATGTTCTGTTCCGTTCTATACCATTCATTTCCTTATGTCAGCGAGACTGTTGTTTTCATTTTATCCAATATATAAATTATTATATAAATACAGAATATTTACTTATAGTACTATATCATCTATATCATATATACTTGTACAGAATCATTGCTTTATCCTCTTTTAAACACTGCTCATTCGAATATCTCAAAGAGCATTAAAACTTTGTCCTAGTCTTTCTGTCCTTCCTACTACATATTAAACTACTTTTAGTTACATATTTGCCCCTGAAGACATTTTGTTAAATATGCAAAAAGATATATTTGTTTTTACACACACAATATACACACAGGCAAACACAGACAAACACACAGACATTTGGAAAGTTCGCATTTATGGGCACTCAATAAATGAAATTCAAGTTATGCTGAACTCTGTCTCAAAATGAAATTGACAGGCCCCGAAAATCCATTTGGTGTATAAATAAGCATTGCAAAACTTATGACTAAAGCCGATTCGGAGGCAGCCTGGCAAAAGACCTTTCCGCCAATTGCAACTGTGTGCGTGCGTGTGCGTGTGTGTTTGTATGTGTGTCTGTGAGTATCCTGCTCTATGTTCTGGCAGCCGCTACGTGTTGGACGCAACTGGAACGTGAACGTGTCGAACGTGCGTGCACGGCCAGCACACAGACTTGAAGGTCTTA